GGGGACTTGGCTCTGCCTCGTTTGTTGTGAAGCCCAAAGCTATTGCTTTTCACATCTCTGCCCCTTTCTGTCTGGCGGGATAACAGCATCCCTTTTTTTAACCTGTAAGAGCTGCCAGCTCCAAGCAGCTCTTGGCAAGCAGTTTCCTTGTCTGGGTGATTCCTACAGAGCTGCATCTCCCATCCTCTTTGTGTGCAGTAACTGAACCACAGAAAGAGAGCAGGAGTGTCTGCGAGCGCGCACCAGCCGAGTGCTGGCCCTGGCCTGGCCATGCTCCCCTCCTGGGCTGCCCACTCCAGACAGAAGAGGTTTCAATCGCACTTTCCATCTGGCATTGATTACCATCCAATTCCTCCCACCTTCATTTGCAGTCAGCAGCGGCGGCCTGACTGACATTGAGGGGGAACAACTCCTCAGATCCCATCAATCAAGTGCCATCCGGATCCAGCTTCCCGGGCTCCTGGACCACAAGGTCACCCCCAGAGGGGCATCAGCAGATGCAAAGCTCTCCTTGTGCCCCATGATGGGCAGGGGGGAGATCTATCCTGTTTGTGCAGAGGAGCCAAAGCCACCCAGCAGCGGGGACAGGCACAAATAGGGCCACCAGGGCCAGCCCTTCCCCCTGGTCTGCACACTCAGGACGGCTGATCTGAGCAAGACACCCCTCCATGGCTAAGGCATGCTACAGAAAAAAAAACACTTACTGCTCACAGAAGGTACCATTTGCAGATGCTCATCACACCAAATTGCTCTGCAATTAGTGTTCTTCATGAAGGTGAACTGAGGCCCTTTGCAGAAGGGAAGTCGTATTTCCTAAGGGAAACCAGAGAAACAATCTCCCACATTGGATTTAATTCCTGTAGGAGCAGAGGCACAGAGGGGCTCTGCTGTCACCACTCCTGCTTCTCACCCTCCCTCCAGCGTGTCCCTGCCCATCCTCTCCCTGGACCAGCAGTCGAGGCCTTGCCTCAGTCCTGCCTGGAATCTGCAAAGTTGGCTGGGAGAAGCTGCAATCAGTGCTCGACCCCCTAATACCATTTTTATGAGTGACACAGGACAAGGATGAATTGTGGTTTTCCACTGGCTTTGTGCTCTGGTACCTTATGATCAACACTCATCCCCCTCACCCCCTCAATTCAGGGGTGCAGCCGGGTCACAACAGCAGCTGAGACCTTACTACCTCACCACAACTGAATTAATTTCAAATTGTGCTGTCCCTTGCTGTCCCTGAACTGTGCAAAATCAGCAGGGTTTGTTCTGTGTAAGGAAGATTGACCCATAACCAGTAACTATTGATTTTTCCCTTGAAAGCTGCTCCCAGGCAGTGGCTGCAGGGCCGTGCTACGCGGGCGGAACAGAGGACAGACACCGTTAGAGCACGGCGTTGCAAGAGCATATTTTCTCCTAATGAAAATAATCATGACAGCAGTTCCAGGTGCTCTCTCAGGGAGCAGAGCCTGAAACCCTCACACGCTCCTGCTCCCCAAGTCCCCCCTTGTGCAGCCACACAAGCATCACTGCACCCACAGCAACACCATGAGCACAGCCCCAGAGGGACCTTCACCCGTCCCTTCGGAGCACCCCACCACAAACAGGCTTAGGGATGGCAACTGGATTTGAGGACGTGACTTTCCTGTTAACCATCTCGCCCTCATTAAGGGAAATCATATTAATTACATTGTAGCAGGCAATAAATCTTTCCATGGAGAAGCAGGGAGGGTGCCTGGGATTTTGGTCTCCATGTGCGATGTTAAAATTCGCAATTCTGTCTAATCCCATTTTTCAGTGTAATAACACCTCTCAGTAAGAGGGGTGTGAAGCCCTGTGGCTTCTGGGTACTAATTTCCTGAGAGAAATAGACAATTTCATCCCCTCTCTCATCATGGCTGAGGATGAAATTGCTCTGAAGGCAGCACCCTGTAAGCTCTGTTCCCAACACTGTATGTTGAGAGGACGTCGATGACATTCTCCAGCCCCGATGTGACAGCCCAGCAGTGGCACCTGCAATTCCCCAGCAACATCCACCCACATCAGTTTTCATATTATCTTGGTCTAAATGAGATTCACTGGACAACATGGATCTGATTTGCAACACATCTGTGGAAGAAATCCTGCCTTCAAGCAAGCTACCATCTATGAATAAATCAGATATGCTGATTTTGGTCTCCTGACAGGCCCAAACTTTCAGCCAAGACCCAGCCTGACTCGTGGCACCTCTCATGGAAGGAGACACTAGATGCTGACCCCAGCAAAGGGCTCTCCTTGCTGGAAATAGAGGCTGGCCAAAGAAACACCTACCAAAAACCCCAGAAAGAACCCAGTTTGTGCACACTCTGACTGGGACAATTTGTCTTATTGAGTAAGCAAAGAATGTCTTTTCTTTGTTTTTAAATACCTTTTTCCTGTTATTTCCCTGACCACTGAGACTTATCTGTGTATTCAAAAAATGACTCAGATCCCACAAATGGATCAGCTGGAAATAGAGGCTGGCCAAAGAAACACCTACCAAAAACCCCAGAAAGAACCCAGTTTGTGCACACTCTGACTGGGACAATTTGTCTTATTGAGTAAGCAAAGAATGTCTTTTCTTTGTTTTTAAATACCTTTTTCCTGTTATTTCCCTGACCACTGAGACTTATCTGTGTATTCAAAAAATGACTCAGATCCCACAAATGGATCAATTTGTGGTGTGCAGAATATCTTTACTGCTAGCTGCAGACACCACAATTTGTGGTGTGCAGAATATCTTTACTGCAGACACCGCAATTGAACAGAAAATTTGGAGATGGAGCCTGTTCAACTAAAGCCACCAAATCAGCAAGTTCTGAGATTTCACCTCTGAATCTGCAGCTCTCCCCATCACTTATCTAGAGAAGATAAATGACTTATGAACCCCTCCATGCCTCTTACACTCATGCTAAGGAGCATTTCCCCTTCTTATGTCTTCAGCTGACCCAGGAAACACAGATTTCTGGTAGAATTACCTAGGTCAGCTGGAGGAGTTGGATGTGCCATCTGCACCTTCAAATCAAAATCTCCTGCATAAAAAAAATTGCCTAGAGACAGACAGCTCTAATTTGTTCTAAACAATCATCCCTTCTAGCAGCAAGCAGGGAATTGTTATCTATTTCTTTGTTACAATGTCACTGAATTAGTGACCACCTGCAAGGTGTCTGTGATGATAAACGCTTGCTTTGTACACAGAGCTATTTCTGACAACGCTTGATAGCACACATCTATCAAATTGCCTGGAAGAGGCACCCATTAGGATCATTATTTAACGCTGTCCCTTTGTGGAAGCTCAATGTCAGCACATCCTGAGGAAGGGACCTCACTGGTGGTACCTATTCCGCTCATTATTTCTCTAGATTAATAGTTTCACATTTCTGCTATGAATTTGGGATGAACTTTGAGTTCTCACCCCCAGAGCACGGAGGCTCCCGAGCATCTCCCAGCTCACAGTGAACTGCTGCACCCGCTCGGCGTGAGCAGGAACTCCTGGCTGAGCCCTGTGCCAGCCAGGGGGCGGCGGGAGAGCTTTTTCCCTCTATTCTGTAGTTATCCAGCACTCTAAAAGCTCTGGTGAAACACAGACACTCACCGCTACTCGCTCGCTCTCTGCTTCTGGAAGTACCACCAGCTCTCTTAAGTCAGTGCTCAGCAACCTTTTAGCAAACCATGACCATTACTCCCCAAATCACCCTTTCTAAAAGATAAGCCACAGCTCTCAGCTCCAGGCAGCATTCATCAGGACCAAAATTACAATCAGGAAAGCCACTTTTTCCATTGAACCAGCCATAAAACACAGGGGCCTTAGTTCCCCCTGCAGAGCCTCATCTATTAACACAAAACACAGGCACTGGGGAGGTTAGGTAGATCAGTTCTTGGGAGGAAGAATACAAAGGCAAGATTCTGAGAAGGCACCTCAATGTCCTCTGCTCAGAGGACAGACCCTGGGGCCATGCCCACACCAGACCTGGCAGCAGCTCACACACAAGCCAACATCAGCCTGTCTCCACAGGCTGAGCTGCTCTGGCTAACAATGGATACAGCCTCTTCCAGCATGACAGAATAGTCATTTTTTATTATTTTCCTCAATAAAAAAGACATTATACAGGTAGTAAAACTAGCTCTTAAATTCCATTCTGTAAATTAACGGAAGGAAGACACAAATTAGAACAAGAACTAAAAGCGACACCGAACGCGAGCCCGGGGCTGCCCGCTCCCGTCTCTGAAGTGGGAAAAACGACCCGGGCGCTGAAGGATACAACCGAAATAACGAAATTCAGCAGACAAAGAATGCAACGTTCGCTCAACCACGGGGAGTCGCAACCGCACCCCCAAACCCGGCCGGGGGCCGCCCTGGCCCCATTCACCCCCAACGCTCCGGCCCCAGCCCTTTCTACGAAACCCAGGACGAGCACCAGAGCCCCGGGCTCGGGCAGCGGGTGCCTTCCCGAGGCTCCCCGGGGAGGAACAGAGGGAGCCGCAGGCCCAACGCCTGAGGGGCCGCTGGAGGCCCCCCCACCCGCCCTCAGACACGGCAGAAGGTGTCATGGCCAGCGGCTTCCACCGGGTGGCCCCCGCAGGACAGGGCTGGGCGGGAGACGAGGCGGGGAAAGGCAAGCGGAGCCGCGGGCTGGGGTACAGGCAGGGGGACGGAACCGCGACGGCTCCCTGGGAGCTCCGGCCCCCTCAGGCCTCACCGACCCCTCTTT